TTTTTTTTTTTTTTTTTTTTATCACAGACTGTTTTTAAACATTCGTGCAAGTTTTCATCGGTAAAGTGTTCCACTGCATTTAAGACCGCAAAGTAACTTTGCGCAATTATTGCTCATAAAAAAAAAAAGAAACAAAAAGAAGAAAAGAAGAATTAATCAAACGGATAACGTTTAGAGAATATAAATGATCGGCGAAACGCGAATAAAAATAACAAAAAAGTCGATAAACCTGGGAAATCCGTTGTCTTTGTGCAGTCCGTTTTTCAATTTCGCGATACAATGTACGAGCATAAGCGATGAAACACCACCTTCGATCCTTATTGTCTATACAGGGTGTCCCTGAAATTATGCCGAATGAAACGATGGTATTCGTTTATTCAAGACTCCATTATCAAATCAAAAGAAGATCAAGTTTGAAAATTGACCAACTGAATTTAAATTTAGCTTATCCTAAACTGAGTAGGAATGAATAATGAACAAGAAGTTGTTCTACTTGCTATAGTTTATAAAACCAAAATGTAGAATACGAATTTAAGATTTTAAAATGCTTCGTTTCCAAGGAAGTTTTAATTTGAAAATTTATCAAGTACACGTTTACTAATTCTTATCAATTGTTAACTCAACACATTTAAATATTACTTTCTTCAAAAATTAGATCTTTCATCTATTAATTATTCACTCTTTTCCGTCTCAATTCAAACATACCTGAGAAATTTTCAAACTCGATTTCTTCTCGAAAAAGGCTTGAATGAAAAACTGCCATTCGCTCATTTTCTCCGAAATGTTGTTTCTTTATTTTTGCGTACATCATCCAGCCATTTGTATGAAGATTCCAGGTACACTGTGTACATACCTACGTCCTTTACTTTTTCCCAGTTTTAACAAAATAAAAGAAGGAAGAACGGAGAAAAGATAAAGAAGAGAAAGAGTGCAGCCCGTTAAATTATAGTAACTGCAGATTGTTCCGTGCTTGGTATTTAGCTTATAGCGGGGAATAATACTTACGAGGCTTGCGTGTACTCTCGACAAATTCGAGAAAG